GCCCCACATGGTCAAACAATAGAGGCCGTATGATAATTACAGGGTAGGGGAATCCCCAAGCAATCCTTATCGGACACCCAAATTAGTCGGTTTAACGAACACGGTCTGCCCCTTCTTAATTGCCTCACTTAAGGTTTCTATTATAGCTGATGCAAAGAGATTGCTATCGACACGAGCAAACAATACCGGGTTATATATCAACTGCAACAGAAGACTCGAGTAAAGGCAAGTCGAATATTAGAACAAAAGTCTGAAGAACAAATCAGGCTTAGTTTTAAAACACGTATAACAATTTTATTTGATTATAATAAGTCACGATCAACAAAAGCGTAGTTAAAATGGAAAATTTTAAATAGCTAATACATCAAATAAATATCAATGTCTCATCGCCTTTATTACATGTGTTTCTAGTTTAGTAGCCTGATGCACGACCTTCTCTCTCAATTACCGCTGGAATAACCTTCTTTAGTGTAATATTTATTACACTTTTCTGCGTTAATATTTTCCCATGCCTCTCTAATGCCGTCAACAAGTTGTTCCCTCGTGGTAGGCTTAGCACGCGTACGCAGGTGATGTTTGATTTCAGCCCATACGTTTTCAATAGGGTTAAGGTCGGGGCTTTCTGGAGGGGTGCGAAACCAATTAATACCGTGTTGCTCAGTAAATGCAGCAGCAACTCGGCTGGTATGTTTGCTGTCGTTGTCCTGCTGAAACTTGTGGCCGTCTGGGAACATATCACGTATCGCTGGGATCAGGGCCTCACCTAATACATCTGTGTAAAAGTCCGCGTTCATTACACCACTAAACACTACAATGTTCGGACCGGTGGGGATCCATCCCAGCTTTCGCCTTAATTCCTTAATCACAGAAATGCCGAGGGAAAGTCCTGACGTAAAGATAGAGAATTGAAAATTACATATTTATGTGTCCGTATAATTTGTAAAAATAATTCAGACCCGTGAAGTAAACCACAACTTTCGTTTACAATATAATCGAACTAAAAATTACCTGTTCGCTCGAAGAGACGTGTTTTTAGTTTTAAGGCCACCAATTCATCATTCTTGGTCAACTCCTCGTCTATAACGTTCATGTGGCGCAGGTCAACCTTTGAGNTGTCCTACAGAAAACACACGTGTTCAGCGTGCGATGAGCTTACACAAAGTCGCAGCCACACAATTAAAGTAGTTAGAGAAAATAATCAAGTCGACTGATAAAAGGCAGCAAACCCTTTACCCCCCCCCCCTCCCTTCCGACCCCGCCCCTCCCGATTGTCTATCCTTCTTTGTTGACCGTTGGCTCATTAGTGAATCCAAACTGAATAGCTAAATAAAACGATTGTTTATTATACTATATACTGCACAAACATGAAGTGCTTAATGCTTGCTTTTCTCTATCTCCTTGGTAATTTTTTTCAATTGTCATTAATTAAAATTTATAGTCAAGCACATGTTCATTCTTGCTGTTATGTGTGCGTCAACTGTCGCTGCCTCGGTGAACAATAAATCAGCATCCTAGGCATTAGGCTGTGAACAACCCATAGCCAATAGACGGTCTTTCCGTAAGTGGCGTGCCCCTTTATTTACATTTTTATGAAAGACTGACAATTTTATTTGAATCAGAAATCTATCTCAATGACCAAATGGCGCTTCTGAAATGAATTTCTGACACAATATTTTGGAACGGCAATTGTTGGTCAGGGAATTCATATCGATTTAACAAATTAGTTCGCCGATTATTCTCTCTCTCTCTTCCCCCTCTGTCTCTACCCCTTCTCTTTCTTTCACACACACACACACAAACACACACACACAGAGAGAGAGAGAGAGAGAGAGAGAGAGAGAGAGAGAGGATTTCCTATGGTAAGTACCTGGAGCAAAGGCAGTTAATAAAATATCCTTTTTCCATAATTCTGACAGGACGAAAGCCTAATGAGGAAACGCTGTTTTCACAAGTTTAATTTAAAGTTGCACACATTGAAGATAATTAAAGCGAATACAGGATATCCTCGGAATAAAATCTCCCTCCTAGTACTAGGGTCTAATGTGCCGTGTGGAGTGATAGAATATTTTACTCTCTCTCTCTCTCTCTCTCTCTCTCACACACACACACACACACAAGCACACACACACACACCTACGCACACACACACACACCTACGCACACGCACAAACGCACACACACACAAACACATACATGCACACGCGCATACACACACACGCAAACACACACATACACACGCACACACACACACGCAAACACACACATACACACGCGCGCAAACACACACACGCACACACACTTATTTACGTACGGGTCCACACACAGTGATCTCATTATTTTTTTGTACTGTTAGTTACTGGTGGTTATGAATAATTCAATCAACCTCCAGATCTAGTTTTAGACCTACAGGTTCATCACGGTGACAACAGAGAAAAAAGTCACCGAGTAGTCACACAGAAATAGGGCACTTCACAGAGACCAAGTGTGATGATAAGATGGACGAAGGTTAGCGGAGTTCTCTGGGTGGAACTTCTATTATTAATCTATCAGACGCTGTGTGACGATTTACCTTATCCGACGGTCACGCCGTTCGTGAGGTGGCAGACTGAGAGACAGCAAAGTACTATTACGCCATTAAGAGCATACACTTATATTCCACCTTTAAAAAGAAAAAAAATCGGAATTTTCTCATATATTTTGGAATTTTGTCTTCTTGTCATTACTATATATCCTCTCTAAACCCGCTGTAAGAATAATGACTTATCAACCCTCTTTTGCGATCTGATTTTTAAATTTTCGTAATCAAAAGTGAATTTCAGCAGAGCTCATGTCCATTGGGAGAGTCACTCAAACACTAAATTCTAGATTTGTGGGTCGTTATTCTGGGAACAGTTTTGGATATGGTATATCTTTGTGACTAAGGTCAAAGGCAAAAGCGTTAAATGTCCCTGGATTTTATTTTCACTTAAGTCTCGGGCGTGCATTGTGTGCAATCAAGGGTGTGGGCACCATGCAGTGACTGGTGACTGTTTGAATGGGGTTCTGTGACGAATTTTATTAACATTTAACGCTTATACAGGCTTATACAGTAATGGAACAAAGTCCTCGCCAGGTGAAAAGGAGCAAAACTCGCCCATCACTGCGGTACTCGGTTGAAATTACAGCCATTTCAATATTCTATGTTTATAATAAAGTGACGAATTAAATACATCCTCTTCGATTTAAAATATTAAAGCAAAAGTCAACTATATAAATAATAACGCATTACTGGCTTTCATAGTAAATTAGCGATGGGTCGTTGATTCATGTCAGTCATGTAAGCATTTCATCTTTCAGCCTATACGTCTCATCAGAAAAAAATATGTATGTAATGGAAGGATAGAATAAAACACAAAATTATTAAACCTAACATTAACTTTAAAGTTACTTTCATGTTCATTAGGATAGCTGACGGTGGATATAACGACCACAATGTTGATTGTCAATTCATCGTCATCCTGCCAAGCCTCACATTTTGTTCCCTTTTTCCGGCAGCCTCAGTTAATGATTGAGAACCCTTCTGCTAATGATGTTTTCTTGTTAATATATATATAGTTAATTTTATCAGCTATTTTGTCAACTCAGTTTCTATGATAGTCGCTTTAAAACAACAGCCATGATCACATAACCACCTTGTATGACCATATATTGTGTAAATAATGTAGTCTAGTGAGCCTGAAAATGTATTCATACCATTTAGTTCTCAATAAACTTATTATTATTATTATTATAAGTATATTTTGAGAATCTGAAGAGAGATCAAAATGTCTAAAGAATAAAGTCCAAATATTACTGTATACAATATCGCCTGGAGTCTTACTTTGCAAAATAAATACTTTATTGTATCAAATAATTTTCAACTTATATGTACTTTGAGAAAACTATAGAAAAGTAGTTTACAGGAGTGATATTACTTGGGTTGACCTGAGAGTGAATTCGATGCAAGATGCGAGAGAGAAAGCTATGTTATTTCACCCAGAAAATGAGCGTGGTAGGAAAAAGTGGCAGAAGTAATACCCATAAATCGGCTTCATCCATCTGGGAAAATTACTGCAGTTTGATTTATCGACATTTTAAGCCATTGTGTTGGTGTTCTGGGTGGTTTGGGGCAATTTTAGAGCTGGTAACACCTTTTCCTCTCTCTCTCTCTCTCTCTCTCTCTCTCTCTCTCTCTCTCTCTCTCTCTGAATGTGTGTATTCCTATCTGTATATACATGTACTATGTTACAGAGGTAAAACGTATCTGTCATTCATAAGAATACCATACACGTTTAATCCCAAGACAATACATTAAATTCTTTCAATACCGTCTTAGATTTTTATAATACCTAAAAAACTAATTTAAAAAATGATTATTTTGGTTTTGTTGGACGTCTCGGATGTTCATTTGGGTAGGCCTACTGGTCACATATCTGTTTACATTGTGTCACAGCTAGGGGGTCAACAGATATCTGGAGTCCTGATGTACCCTCTTGGCTGTCTGGGACCACTAATCAACCGTAACCTACTTTAAACAAATCACGCCATTTGTCGGACAAAAAATTTTTAAAAAATGGCCAGTTTACCCCAGAGCAGGATAGACATAGGAGTATTCAGGAAAATGACAAACTGTGGAATTCTGTTGTTGATGCGAATTCCAGGCACGCGGGCTCTGAGACTGACACTTCGGGGATTTTAAATATACATTTGTTCTAAAGACACGACAGCAGTTGATATATATATATATATATATATATATATATATATTTATATATTTATATATATATATTGATGGCTGTTGGTTAATAGTCCACCACAATATAACTCTAATAAAGCAATCGTTGCACAATTTCAAAAAAAGGTGTAGGCATCTATATGCAGCTTTAACCGCAATCATGTGGTCTTTATAAACCCGACCAACTTCTAAAATCTGAACCGTGTTTAAAAGCCAGTAAATCAGTTTTATAAAACAAATAACTTACCCGTCATATCTAGTGACCGGGGTCGGCAGAGCCGTTACCAGGGCGCAGAACCCCGTCAGTGCCAGCGCTAACAGCATCGTTCCTTGGCGTTGTTCCTGTGCCGCGGATGTCGATGTCTGGGTGATTGTCGGACTCCGTGTTAACTATTACGTCTGTCCGACCCGTTAATCCTGCCAAAGGGGAAATAAAAGACGTTTAGTGTTAGAATTTTTATCACAAATTGCACCGTCAGTGTTGCATCATTGAAATGTGTACCGCGTTAGGTGAATTATTACTCACCGCCGGTGAAATCGTTCTACGTTTCTTAACAGTGTAGCCCTGTAACCGATTAAGGTGTTTGGAAAGTCCTCACCTGTGCGTTCACAATCTGCCCGTTCACAATCTGCCTGTGCGACCTTAATACTCCACAATCACCTTTGACTTAGTTAATAAGTCACCGAATCTCATGCATGGCTCACGTTACACTTCCGTGTATAAGTACGCCTCTGAAAATGCGTGCATACGTACCCACATCAAAAAAAAAAAAAAAAAAAAAAGAAAAGACACACAACAACAACAACAACAACAACAACAACAACAGCGGCATCAGGATTCCAATTACAGCAAAATCAGTGCAGTTCTTCTTTCAACTTGCTACCGTTACCTTTAACTGTTCCATTTCAGCTGGGACGTAAGGGGTAATTAAGCCGAGAGCACACGAACGTTTTAACTACCCCCTAGCAGCTCAAGGAGGCGTGTCAGACAATGAAGCTGATTACGATGATTGCAGTTTAGCGAAAATTCCCCAGCGGAGTTGGATCGACCCAGCTGGTACGATATCTGAATCTGAATGTGGTCTAAGGCAATCGTTGACCAAGTGTCTCAGTGCGAAGGCACTGTCCTCTGCACTGTGGATATCACAGCTGACAACGCTGAGACCCCACTCAATTGTTCAATTATATACACACACGTATATATATATATAGCGACCCTTATCATCTGCTTCATACAAAACAAGCGTTTTCTATCAAGAAATATTCTTCGTTCGTTCCGAAGAGTTCTCAAGCCTTGTCTGTCTTCCTGTAAAAATTGTGTGCTTGAAAGTAAACAGGCGGATGGATTCTCTGGTAGACTGGTGCAGCGAAATTGAGTGTCCGTATAACAGGAAGTCCGCCCTCCGTTTTGTTATAATGGTTTGGGTTAGCTTGACCTAAGTGGGTCAAATTCTAGGGCGAGGCTTACCTGTACAAATGAATTGGAAGCAGATTCTTCATCATGGAGGATTCTCTGTCACGTTACACCAGTGCAATCTGTCTCTCTTTGAATACATCTGAGACCTTTCTCTCATATACTACTACTAGTAGTTTTGCTTTATATTTAAAAAGTCCTTCTTATATGAGTCAAGGGAGACACCTGACTTTATATGTAAAAAGTCCTTATTTAAGTCACGTTTTCCCAAGTCAGGTTCAGACCAGATCCAACTTAAACCGGATATCAGTTTTGTGATGTCCGTATTCTTACGTTATCAAATGACCGCATTGCTTGACATAAGACTTTACCGCCAAAAAAGACATTTTGGAATTCTTTGAGGACCCGTGCCTGATTTAGTCGTATCATGACGTCATTAAAACTATTTTAAGTATGGCACTGCACATGAATTTTATCATAAATATACGTACTAAAATAACTTGTAAATAAACGTTTTGGCAAAAAATCTACCTGTGGTAATAAAATTGCATTGCAATACAAACCGTTCCAAAAATGTTTTCATATATGATTTCAATCTGAAATATTTATTGCCGGTTTTTAATTCCATGCCTTGTTATTATATTAAATTCATAAGTGGTTTCGGCTTCCAATATTAGTCGGTTGTCAGCGATCCAGCTTCTTCTAGCATATCGTATGAGACCGGTATCTCCACAGTATCAGTTAATAATAAGGGTGCAATCCCACAAACGCCATGGGTCTATGTGGATCGATCCAGCTTTGTGAGATTCCCGCTGGGTGCCATCAGCTTAAGATATTAACACGCCTCCTCCTGGCGTTAAGAAAAATACAGAAAAACTGGTGATTATACGAGAACAACAGGAGGCATGTCGTTCAATTAAACTGATTGCACTTAGCGACAGTAACCGCAGAGTTGGGACGATCCACGTAGATCGATGGTTTCTTTATGGGAATGGGGTCCAAGACTTCGCGAAGTTTGTTTTGCGCTAGTAATAGGCCACCATGAAATGGCGTTCATAATAAAATGGAGTTTATTTTGTTTACCTACATGTGCAGCACTTTAAAACCAATGATCAGAAAGTAATGCTTCACAATAAAACACTGTTTAACAATTAATTTTATGTTTTTGGTCCATATTTAAAGCGTGTACCCTTTTAGCTATACCCGGAGTGAATGCATCTCGAAACGCGCACAGAAAAAAAGTGAATAAAACCTATCAGACTTGTAATCATAAAATATTCGTTCTGGCGCCAACAGCTCGCCACCATCTGACGTGAAGCGCGGGAAGTGTAGTGGGTTCAGAGGTGAGGGTAAGAAAAGGTTGACTTTTAGTATAACATCCTCAATAAGGCCACACTTTTTTATTTTTATGGATGACATCCTCTGGGTACCCCAAAATCGGTGCGAGAGGGCGAAAAAAAAAAAAACGGTCCAAAAAATAAAAATACTGCTTAAGTAAAGGAATGCTGTCAGTACACAGCTGGAAACACAAATTTTACCACAGAAACACGTATCAAACTAACAATATGTCTTTATCCATGCTCTCAAAATATTAAAGCGTTGTGAATACTTCGTAGAAATGTAAAAAAAAGTCATGAATAGATATACTTCTTATTACAAAATCTATCAAGGTTATTTCATGCATTTTGTTGGTATAGCAATCAATAAAACAAATATCAAACAAACAGTGTGTTTTTATTTGTATTCTCAGAATATTAAAGCATTTTGAACACTTCACAGAAATGTTTAAAAAAATGATGCAAAGATATGCTTAATACTACCAAATCTATTAAAGGTCATTTCGGACGATGCCATTTTGTCTACTTCGACTCACACGGCCAAACTATCAGGTGGCCTGTCCGACCTTCAGCCCACCAAATAACTCGACGCCCTTGTCGACCCTTTTTTCGCTACAGAAAACCTGGTAGCCTACGTGCTGCTTTGTACAGAATGTCACTGAAACTTTTCGGGCGATAATCGCTGGCGTCCGCCAGCCTTTCGCACAATTGTAAAAAGGTGATATCTCCATGCCCAATATCAATGGCATACCAATCCAAAACGACGGCACCCGTTCTCTTTATGACTTTAATTGTCGTGTAATTTGAAAGTAATCCTAGAGATGAATTTGACGGCAAAGCGGCCACATTTCCACGTGGCGATAATACGCATTCGCAGAAAGCTCATTTCCTGGCAAATTCAATAACAACGTTTGCGACAACCGACTTCGTTGGGGGCTGGGGGGGGGGGATTTTTTTTTTTTTTTTTTTTTTCGGAGAACGGGCGAAAATCGGTGCTCGCGCAGGATGTCATCCATAAAAATAAAAAAGTGTGGCCTAAATGAGATCAGTCAGCCGAACAATCCATGCCTGGTCTTTATGGATCTGGTCACTTCTGAAACCATCTCACAACTTTGAATAACAGACATCCCAACAGGCGGTTTGTGTGGCGTTAGGATTTATCATCCACAATTTCCAGCATTACCATGACTAGGATTCTTAATATTGTATAAAATTTTCTGCATTAAAAAATCAACTACGTTTATTTACAAATGAACGCCAGCGAGGGGTATGAGGGGTACCAGCGGGGCAACGTGCGAGTCATGTTGGTCACATGGTCACGTGTGCTGTTGGTCACGTGGGTCTCATTGGTCATGTGACTGTGGTATTTACCAGTTTGTTCAGTTCGTTTTAGCGAAGAGATTTACCATCGATGGTCTAGAAAGGCAAGAGAAAAATAAATACAAAACGTTGATGTTAACAGTTAACTCTCCAGAAATCGGCTTGGCTAAAGCTAACTACAGAGTATGGTACCAGTATTGTTGTGGCGTTGTGCACGATTTAAAATCAAATGAGGTAAAACATTCCAAGGAATGGGGTTTGCAAGTGTAATAGGATATTAACAGTGTGTGTGCGTGTGTGTGTGTGTGTGAAATGGAGGGATGGGGGGGGGGGTATTAAAGAGGGAGAGCGGGGCGGGTTTAAGGGCCGCGTGCCTGATGTTTGAACGGCTTTACTTAATAGAGCAGGTGGTTGTTATTTCACTCTCCGGCAATTACGTTAAGGGTTATATTATCCCTTTATTATCTGAACGACCTTAAATTTTGTAAAATTTTGTGGGTTTAAAAGAAAATGAAGTATGCAGATAAAACTCGCCACTCTATGGTGTAACTCAAACTATCGTATATCTCAAATGTCATGTAATGTTGATTTTTACATTGGTATAACATAAAGCTGTTGAACTTTTTGCCTTACTCGAACCAAGTGTTACTTGAACTTAACTGCCCGGTCGAATGGTGTCCAAATATGTGGAGGCCACTAATTGTGTACTTTTTTAATTTTCGATATAATAGGGAAAATACGTCTAGGTACCGGGTATATTAGGCTAAAGGAGCACGTTATGGAACATTTTAAGCACCTTGGCCTCGATCTGAATAAATTTTGGAACCAGTAATTTTGACTACCTGTCTCACTGGGATCGAGATGCATCACAGGCTAATGACATTTATAAAGCGGCGTATTCTATAGGGAATGGGAACAAATCATAGAAAACAGCGCGGCAAATGCCGAAACAGAAACTCCCCTCTGTACTATCATCTATATCAGCATACTGCCATAACTAGCTTCTGCTCTTTGCAGTAACAGAGGTATGCTAGGAGTAGAGAAGAGAGAGTTGAAATGCCCTGCTCAACTCCACTGTCTGATCACAGGGACCGCTGTGTAGGGTAGTAGTCTGCTACAAAATTATTGGACCTAAACTTAGGCCCCATTCAGAATAGGGGACTAGTTACAAGTCCGAGGGTCAAATATGGCCGACCCACTTGAATCACCCCCCAGGGATATCTATTCAGTGACTATTAGCGGATTAGACGGCAAGCTTTATAGTGGGTCGCCATATTTGACCCTGGGACTAGCTAGTCCCCTATTCTGAATGGGGCCTTATATTCTGTATACCTATTTAGAGGGCC